GTGATTTTTGTTAGAAATTTATCTTATGGATACTTGCACATTTTTAGTCATCACAGTATTATTTGTAACAGGTAAGTTTTGGAGACAAGCTAAATATCCAGTAAATGATGGTATATTACGCCAAAGAAAAATCATGCAGAAGAGAATGAAGACGGTACCTCTGTGCTATCATGGGAAAATCTCCAAGATAGATTGCTAAATGACAAAAAAGAGCTTGAGGCCAGTTTGGGCTATATAGCAAGACTCTGTCTCAAAAACTAACTGAATAAATAAAGGTGTAGAACGACAGGAATTGTCCCTTATTTTCTGTGTAGGGTAGGGAGGCACACACGCACACACATACATGGAGAAATTCCAGTAGGTGCACACGGTATTATAGCAGTGCTTATGGGGGTGGGCAGATGGGAAGAAGGTAAGATGGAGACTCACACACACACCCCCATGGCCCTCTGTATCTGCAGGTTTTGCATCTGTGGCTTCCGCCAACTGCAGGTCGGAGATATTTTTAGTGTTCCTGTGCTATTTTGTGTACAGACTTTCCCCTTGTCCTTATTCTCTGGACAGTATAGTTTAACACAGCATCTTCATGGTGTTAGATGCTATGTGTAATCTGGCAATGATCTGAAGTGCACAGAAGGGTATGCTCATCTTTTATGTAAGTGCCGTACCATTTTATATAAGGGGCTTGAGGATCTGAAGGTTTTGGTATCTGGGAAATGGTGATGACGAATAACTGTGTGTGTGTGTGTGTGCGCTATAGTTTTAATATGTGCATATTACCTAAACAACATGGATGCTAAAATTACTTTTTTATTTACTCATGAATGTATGAAGCACGTACAATGGTTAGGCACAAGGGATAGTGGCACGGATATGGTTATGCTGTGCTGCAATGACCCACTGAGCCTGACTAAAACAGTGGATTCAGATTCTGGCTCTGCTTCTCACTTCCTCTGCATCTCGGCACAGAGTGTGCAACAGGTATTTGTTGAATGACTTGTGGTTGGAGCTACTTAACTGTTATGAGTCAAAATGAGGCTAGAGATGCTGCCTACCTCACAGGGACATCGTGACGACAAACGACAGAACGTGTCACTAATTCCAGTGACACATTCTAATGAACTCTCCCACTAATGCTAAGCTCATTTACACCCACTGTTGCCTTGACTCCTCACAGGAACCTTCTCGTCCACTCATTTGGCATTCAGCAGTCAGGTAATTCTTGACACCACAGCCAGTGCTGTGTAGGTGCCAACAAATAAGAGCAAACACACCAGGGACATACTCACTTCTCACAGGAAAAGAAGGGCAGAGAGGAGGAGCGACTTGCCCATGCTCACGTTGGTGAAGGTGTCTTTCTTTCCTTCCTTCCTTCCTTCCTTACTCCCTTCCTTCCTTCTCTCCTTCCTTCCTTTCTCTCTCCCTCCCCACAATGCTACAAGTGCTAGAAACTTTGAAAACCAAGGAAGACTGAAGTAAATTTTGTCACTGTTCTCAGTGATACTTCAGAGCAGTCGAATAATCAAGTAAATGCACGTCTTTTTAAAAAAATTGATTATTTATTGAGTGCACAGCCATGTTGTAGGAGAAGCAAAAGAAATATCACAGGTCTTTAGACACTAATCAGCAAAAAGATACAGAGAAAAGCAAAGTTAATATAAGGTTTTATTTACCAAATTCTCTCTTTTTGGCAGTACCAAGGTTTGAACTCAGGGCTTCACACTTGCTAGGCTTCTTTTGGAGATAGGGTCTCGTTTTTTGCTGGGTCCTGGCATGGACAGTGATCCTCCTACTTTTTAGGCTTCCCACTGTTTCTGGGTTGACAGGCAGACACCACCATGCCCGGCTTTTTCTGTTGAAATGGGGTCTTGTGAACCTATTTGCCAATGCTGGCCTGGTACCCAGATCCTCCCCATCTCTGTCTCCCATGCAGCTGGGATAACAGGTGTGAGCCACCACACCCAGCTAGTGGTTGAGATGGAGGTCTCCTGAAGATTTTGCCCATGCTGGGCTTGAACCATGATCCTCCGAATCTCTGCCTCCCAAGTAGCTAGGATTACAGGGGTGAGCCACCAGTGCCAGCCCAAATTCTTATTTTATTCTACAAGGTTAGGGATCTGAGGATGGAAGTGACAAATGACAAGGTGTTGAAGAGTTTGCGCTGAAGAAGTAGATGGGCTGGACTAGTTGCCTGGCCTCGGGTGGGCTGGCTGTGAGCAGCTGTACATTAAGAGCTATATTCATATTTGGGATGCCTGGGAGCGGGCGTGGTGCACTCCAGGTGTGGTAGAGAGAGAGGCCTGCAAAGACAAATTCCTTTAGACTTTGAAAAGTCTGAGGGACAAGTTTGGTGTAATTAGATGGTAGGACTTCCAGTGCCAAGGGAGAGTCAGCATCTAAGCTCATAACAGAGGGTAAAAATCTGTCACATACAGAAGAAAAATCATTAAACACACTCAGCAGGTTAATTCAAGAAGTCATGCCATCAGGCCAGGCCCTGGGGCTCACATCTATAATCCTAGCCACTGGGAGTCAGAGATCAGGAAGATTGTGCTTCAAGGTCACCCCAGGCAAAAATTTCTCGACACCCCATCTCAACCAGCAAAAGTTGGGCATAGTGGCTACACCTGTCATCAGGGCTATGAGAAGCAGAAATAGGAGGACAGAGGTCCAGGCACCATCTCAACCAATCAGCTGAGCATGGTGAGGCATATCTGTGAACCCAGCTACATGGGAGGCACAGGTAGGATGATTGCAGGCAAAAATGTGAGCCCCTACCTGAAAAATAGCTAAAGCACAGAAGGGCTGGTGGAGTGGCTTAAGTGGTAGGGTGCCTGTCTAGCAGGCATGGGGCCCCGAGTTCAAACCCCAGTGCCACCAGAAAAAAAAAGAAAGAATTATTTTATTTTAATTAGTTTATTTATGGCAGGGTCTCAATATGTAGCCCAAGCTGTCCTGAACCCCTGATCCTTCTACCTCGGCCTCCCAAGTACTGAGATTGCAGGTGTACTGAGATTACAGGTGTGTACCACCATGCCTGGCTGAAGTATTTTCAATTCTGTTCAGCAGTTCATTAATCTCCTTTTTTTTTTTTTATGATCAGCTATTGGAAGTCGGTTATTTTGTTCCTCTGGTGGTGTCATGTTTCCTTGATTGTTTGTGATTCTTGTGGCCCTGTGTTGGTGTCTGTGCATTTGAAGAAGGAGGCTCTTATACCAGTCTTTAAAGACTGATTTTTTTCGAAGAAAGCCCTTTACCAGTCAGCAAATTCAGAGAGTGTAGGCACGCTGTATCACATCATCCATGTGTGGATGAGCCTTGCACTCAGGGCCCTAACAGTGGACTTGGAGCCCTAATCTGCAGAGGCAGCATGGCACCAAGGTCTCTTCCATTGCTACCTTCCTCTCAAGATAACCACCATCTCCCCTTTAAATGCCACAGATAAGTTTTGGCTGCTTTTGAAGTTTATGTAAGTGGGATTATATTGTACATACCCTTCTGTGGTGGCTTCTTTCGCTCAATATTATGTTCTTGAAATTTACTCCTGGTGTTCAGTGTAGAGAAACTCAGCAATCCTTATTACTGTGTAGTAATCCATATAGTTTATCTCTATGTTGATGGGCATTTGAGTTGTTTTCTTTTGGGCTGTTTACGAAGAGAGAAGCTATAAACACTTTTTTGAATGCGATTTGATGAATGTGTACACACATCTTTGTTGAGCGTATAACCGGGGTGGAATGGCTGGGTTGCAGAATATGGGTACTTAGTTTAGTGGAAAAGTCAAATGGATTCTGCAGTAGTGGTGAGAAGTTTGCTGTAGACCTGAGGGGCTCGGTGATAGAGCACTTTTAGCATGTGGAGGCCTGGGTTAGCTCTCCAGCACAGAAGAAGAAGAAGAAAAAAAGAAGTCAGCAGTAATGTTAGACCCTTTAATTTCAGCTATTCCCGGGGGTGTGAAGCGAGGTAAGATTTCAACTGGCATTTCTGGGATGATTAATAAATTGAGAACTTTTTCATATGCTTATTTATTTATTATTTATTTTTTGAGAAATACCTGGTTATCCTTTCTTGAGAAATGTCTATTGAAATATTCTACTTATTTAAATGGGATTTTCTGCCTTGTTCTTGCTGATGTGTAGCTGTCTTTAGATATTCTGTATACAAGTCCCTTTTTGGATATATGTATGTGTCACAACATTCTTTTCTCACTGTGTGGTATCTTTTCATAAACAGCAGCTTTTAGAGTTAACTTCCAGTGACGCTTTTTCTTTATAGTTGGTACTACATGTATTTAAGAAGTCTTTCTCTACCCCAAGGTCACAAACATTTCCTGATAATTTCTTTGAATAGTGTTACTGTTTTATCATTTACATTTTGATCTAAAATCCATCTGGAATTGATTTGGGGGGTATGGTGTGAGATATGCATCAAGATTACATGTGAACGGGCAGTTGTCCAGATGATCTGGACAGACAGACGGTACCGTTCCCCAGCGCACCACAGCAGCCACTGTGACAAATTGAGTGACCATCTAGTGTAGGTGTTTTGGACTCTAGTGCACTGGTCATTTCACCTCTCCTTGTGTTAAGTCCTCCAGCGGGGCTCCCTGTCTCACCCTACTAAAACACGCACCACTCAAGTGCCTCCTCCACCTCCCCTTGCACTCTGTACGCCAGTGGCTGTGACAGGCTGTTTGTGGTGACCCGGGGCCCTGTCCCATCAAAGCCCTTGAAATAAGTAGAAAGCCAGCCAGGTGTGCGCAGACGGGGAGCAGACCTGCCGGGTAATTTAATTAAAGAGCGCGGGGAAGGGGGAGGAGCGGACCGGGTCAGCGAGGCCCGGTTCTGGGGCGAGGGGAGGAGGCCACCGCGTGTAAATGTCGCGGACGGCGAATGGGGTGGCCGGGGCGGGGCCCCCGGGCCGCGAATCAGCAGGCGAGGGCTGGAGCGCGCCGGGGCGCAGAGCCGCGCTGCAGCCAGCGGGCCGGGCGGGACCGGGCGCGGGCGGGACCGAGAGGGACCGGGCGGCCGTGCGCACCGCGGGCCATGAGCCGCCCCGGCCCGGGCAGCAGCGGCTACTGCGCGGGACGCGCAGCGCCGCGACCCTGAGCCCCGCGAGGTGAGTGCGTCCCCGGGGCGCCCGGAAGCCTCGGCCCGGGGAGAACTGGGTGCGGAGGTCGGGGACGCGGAGCGGCACCGCAGAGCCGGGCCGGATCGGGTCGGACCGGGTCGGACCGGGTCGGGCCGGGTCGGGGTGGCCGGAGCGTGGGTGCGGGGCTCGCGCGCTCCCGGGCTGGGGACGCCATGGGTGTCCCTGCGTCTTTGCCGCGGACCCGCAGCTTCCCAGGGCGAGGGTCTCGTCGCCGGACCCCGCTCGGTTCCGACCCAATCCAACCCCAGGCCGGCCGGGGTAGGGGACAGGCGAGGGTCCCCAGGCTCGCAGGCCGGGGCGCCTCTCCAGTCCTCTCGGAAGTTTGTTGACAACGTCGCCTCCTTTGTTGGGAAAGACGGCGCTGCGGGAGGGGCGCGCGGGAAGGAGGCGGACGCGGCCGGTGTCCCGCGTGGACGCTCGGCCCAGGCCCGGGCAGGTGCGGGGGCTCCGCCTGTCCAGCCCGGAGTCCGCTCCCGCGTAAAGAGGAGGAGGGAGAGCCGCGCGCGCCGGTCTCGTGAACCTTGACTCGCATCTCCCGAGGCCGCTCCGGCTCTCCATGGACACTGCCCTGCCCGGGGATAGTCAGTTCGGGAGCCGATGCGCCCTCTCCGTGTTGCCCCCCGGGACCGAGCGGGACCCGGGGGAAGAGAGAGGCCGTGGGGACACCCGGGGGTTGTGCGCAGTGGCCCCCAGCAATGTGCCCACCTGCCTTGCCAAGTGCTCGCTCTGTGCCAGCTCCAACTCTCTCTAAACTGCGACATTTCCAGGGTGACTAACCGAGATCTCAGTCTTAAGAACTTTGTCCTGTGAAACTCTGTGCTGTGTTGCTTGAAACACAATCCCTGGAAGAATTATTCATGCTTCAATCCTTTGGCTAGACTTCATAAGATTACTTCAAACCTAAAGAGATACTCTTAATTTCTAAACACGAGGAAAACTTTATTCTAAGTGGATAAGCCAATTTTATTTGTGGGGTTGTCTTTGTCCTACTCTGCAGAGAAGATAAAAGACTATAGATCCATTGTAAGTTCTCTGTCATGGTCATAGTGAGGCAGCTGAGGCTGTGACATTTCTTGAGTTTAAAATATGATAGAAATTTCTTAAGGCCCCCATCAGATAATCATTTATGAGTTTAACTTGAAAATATCCCATTTCAGAAATCAGAAAAAAATTCAAACAAGTAAGCTGCTTCTCTCTGCCTTGACTTGCAAGATCGTTGGTTGTTTGGAGTTATCTTTGTGAACCAAGTGAGTTGAACCTTATTCTGGGTCAGGGAAACAGCAAACCCGTTAGTGTTTGTCATGCTGGCTTGTGTCCTTAACGTTCATACCCATGTCATGTTTTCATAGCAAGATGCTTTCCTATCAAGGTCTTTTTGACCTTTGTGTATGTCTCAATATCTGCCACTGAGTTTGTTTACCTGTTCAGTAGAAAGAGGTCAAGTCAGGTGGCCAAAGTCTCATCCAGATGTTTCTGTCAAAGCCTGCATGTGGCTCCTTTGCTGTGCCCACTTGTATGTCCCACTTGGCTTGGTGTATTTATGTCTGTTATTCTAGGTTTAAGCATTTCCCTCCTGGTGCTTCCCTGGTGTAGTGACACCATGTGTGAACTTCCAGCATAATAAGGATACAGTGAACAAGCAAGACAGGCATGGCTCCTGCCCTGCTTACAGGAGACACGCCATTTATTGAGTGCTTGCAGTAAGTCCAGGGTTTCATATAGATCACATTTAATTTCCACAACAGCCCGGTGAAATAGATCTGGTTAACACATTTTACAAAGGAGAAGCTGAGAGTCAGAGGGTTGAGCAGCCTGTCCCAAGCCTACAGCTAGGAAGGGAGGCAGAGCAGAGGTTTAAAGTGGTGGGTATCTGGCTCCCAGACCTAGGTTCTGAAGCGTCAAACATTTTGATTTTTAAGGACCAGATAGTGCATAAGAAGAATGTAATGATCAGGACAGAAGCATTTCTAAGTGGAGAAAACACGGGAACCAGAGTCTGGGGTCTCCAACCACTCGTGCTGCTGCTCAACCACTCGTTCCCACCTCAGGGCCTTTGCGTTTGCTGGAATGCAATCCTTCCTCTGCCTGGAACTCCCTTCACCTCTTTTCTTGGTGGATTTCTTCTCTTTTCTTCAGGTCCCTCTTCAGAAAGGCCTTCCTAGACCACCCTGATGTAAAGTCACCCCTCACCCCAAGCCAGGATCTCCTGTCATTTCACCCTGTTTTGTGTTCTTTAGAGCATGTACAGCTTGGGGATTAGTTGCCTCCTTTTCGTGTTTGTGTTGGTGGGATACCTCCAAAACAAGGTAGGCTCCATGAGAGCAGAACCTTATCTGAATTATCATAGCCTCAGCTGTGGTGTGCTGTAAGCCCGCAGAGAAAAATCTGTGGACAGTGGACAGTAGTGTGGAGCTTCAAAAGGATGGATGCCAGCGCCCTAGCCACGGACATTCCTCTGTCATTACTCCCAGTTGTGGCATGGCATCAAGATTTTCTTATACACAGCCAGGTAAGAACTGCTGTTTTATGTTCTCAGAACCCATTCTGTGCTTTGGTCCTCCCAGGCCTGAAGCAGGCGTGGTGAGAGAGAGCAAGGCTAGAACTCACAGCCCCAGATAGTTTAAGAGGTACTTTCACATCTGTTATCACAGGAGGGATCTACTCTGGTTTAAATATCCCTGTATGTTGATTACTATTAAAAGTCTACGTCTGCTGTTGCTCCTAACTGCACGGACCAGCATCTAACCTCCTCCTAGACAGAAGTGTCCCCTGGCGCCTCACAGCAGCCCCCGTGGTGAGCTGTGTGTCCTCCTGCAGGAATCCATTTTTGAAAGTGCTTGATAAGTTATAGCATCGCATTCTCCCATGCTGGGAGGCAGGAGGCCTCAATCTCCGTGTTTCTTTGCTCTGGCCTCTGTCCTAGCTCAGAGTTCTTCATTGTTCCTTAATGGGTTATTGCCATCCACCTGCCTATCTTCCCGTTTCCCTCTTTCCCCCTCCAGAGTTACCTATCTGGGTGCAGACGGGATCGGTCCCTCCTCTCTTCCAGGTCTTCCCTAGCACTCGGAGCCAAGTTCAAGCACTGGCAGAACTTTCAAGCCCTCATGGTCTCATCCTAAGCTGTGTCTTCCAGGAATTGCTTCTCAGCTTCTCTTCTCAGATCACACCACAGGGCTTGCAGCGTGCTCAGCCTGTGGGGACACCTCCATGTCTTTGTGCACCTGCTGTTGCAGCACGCTCTTGGAATGCTTCTCCCTGAAGATTTCAGCCTTTCAAAATTTTTTGGCCCCTCTGAGATCCTCCTAGAGTCCTTTTGTTACAATTAATTGTTGTTCCTTCCAGCATGGGGTTGCTGTTTGTGAGTTCTACTAGTCTCTTCAAGTTCACTGCCAGGGGTTGGTACTTGGGTTTCTTTGTTTTTCTGTGTGTCTTATGTGGAGTAGGCTCTTAAATATTGGTTGAATTAGAGGTAGAAAAGGGAGGCTAACAGCCTTCGTTTTCAGGGAATAAATGGAGTTGTGAATAGCTTGTGGAAGGGCGTAGAAGAACATTTTAGTTCATCTTGAGATCTTCATTGATCCTAGATCTGCAGAGAGGAAACAGGCTCCCAGAGACACTTTTGCCCTCCATACTGTCTTGGAAATAGACTTGATCAACTCATGGCCTGCTGTACATGAACAGACTTTGTAAGGTGCTACTGATGTCTGTCTGGGCTTCCTTGAAATGATTCAGGCCTGTCTATGAAGTAGGCAGGGGCCGAGAGCTGGAACAGAGCGTTCCCAGATGTAAGGTGTGTGCACGTGCGGGTAAGGGTACACAGTCCTGCTTGGTTTGCGTCACGGGTGGTCAGGTGAGGAGCTAGGGAACTTGGTTTCTTTTTTAATAACAATGATTAACACTGAGCAAGTGCTGACAGTGTGAGTCACAGGACTCATGACCCTATTGTTCTGTACCTACCGGGAGCCAGGCCTTCTGTGTGGTCTTGGGTGGACATGGAGCAGACACCCTTCAGAATCACCAGGTCTTGGATTCCTTGACTATAGGGCCTTTCCTCCCAGCCCCTGGCACTCTTAGCTTTGCTTCCTTTGTACACCTTTGTCTTTACCCGGTGCCAACTCTGTCAGCCTTGGAGGTAGTCTTCAGGCCACATCCCAAGTCCTCAGTTCCTTCCAAACACTGAGTTTGCTGTGATTCTGCAAGGGGATTTTTGCTTAAAGCGTTTTGCTAACCAATGCTGCCAGTGAGGACTGAGGGCTTCAGGGCCTGAGGACAGGTGGGGAGCAAAGGGCTCCCCTCAGCAGCCTGGGGACAATGGGCACTGGGCTCAGCTGTCCTGTGGTGGTGCACAGACCACAGTGTGGTACCACAGGCAGCATGGGACAGCTCCGGGGACCTTCTGTCTCCAGAGGGCAACACTTTTCTTTATTGGGGCTCCTATTTCTTGTCCTCTATATGTTGGCCTTGAAATGTCTGATGTCATTTGGCTTAGGTCAGAACAATAATTTGGCCTAGTACCGGTGGCTCACATCTGTAATCCTAGCTACTCAAGATACAGAGATGAGGAGGATTGCAGTTCAAAATCAGCCTGGGCAAATAATAGTTTGCGAGATGTTTGATAAACCCTTCACAAAAAAAAGGGGCTGGTGGAGTGGCTCAAGGTGAAACCCCTGAGTTTAAACCCCAGTTAAAAAAAACCAAACCAAACAAACAAACAAAACACCATGGTTTGGTTCTGGGATACAAGAGCACTGACCCCACTCAAGACGACTGTTTCTTCTAGGCAGAGCTGGGCACGAACTATTGAGGTTACTTCTGCAACCTCATTGCCATTTTCTTCTCTTTCCATAAGCTTTCTGCTTCACCTCCCTTTTTTTCTTTCCTCTTTCCCTTTTCTTCTTCCTGACTTTATAGGCACCCATGGACTTGCTCCACCCTGCTGGCGACAGGCAGCTTCTGGACCCCTCTGGGATGCTCCCACTCCAGCAATTTTCCTCTGCAGCTGAGCCCCCTAATGTGTGGGGAGAAGGGTCACCACTGACCCCTGACCCCGGATGGTCTGTTAATTACAATGCATGCTTTATTTATAAGCTTCAAGTCTTTGCCAGAAAAGTTCTGCCCCATCCCTGCAGGTAGCACAACTGAGGTTGGCACAGCTGAAGGATTCCACTTGTCCCTGCCTGTTCATATCGCTCGTGGGATGGTGGCAATCTGCACACTAGTTATGAAATAATAGCATGGTTCATGTGCCTCTAATGACTCTGAGATGTTTGTTGTCCTTTCGGTTTCAAGGCCAATCCTGGCCTATTCCTCCCCAGGACCCTGAAGGAGATGAGAACTTCCTGTTCTTCTTAGACTCCATGAGTGGCACCCTCCAATGCTGTTTGTCTCTTAAGATTTTGTGGGTATTTTCTTTTGCTATGTGGCCTATCTCCACTTCCTTTATCAGTAGGATACTGGTTCTCGACTGTTGTCACTTTAGCCTTCACTCTTTTCTTTCCTTCTTAGAGTTGAGAATCATGGCGGCAGGAAAGTTTGCAAGCCTTCCCCGAAACATGCCAGTGAGTCACCAGTTCCCCCTGGCCTCATCCATGGACCTGCTGAGCAGCAAGTCCCTTCCCGGCCAGCCTCACACAGATGCCTATCAAGACGTGTTCATACACGGCACCCTTCCACGGAAGAAGAAGGGCCCTCCGCCCATCAGGTCCTCTGATAACGTCAGTCACATGGGGACCCTCCCCCACTCCAAGTCCCCATGGCCGGGCTCACCTCTGACCCATGACATCATCCAGGAAAGCCCAGTGCAAGACTGGGAGGGCGAGACCTTCACCTTCAGGTAACGTCTGTCATTTCATGAGTGCATTCTAAAAGGTGTTTTTGTTAAGAAAAACGTCACGCGTGTACAGTGTGGAGCATGGGCCACCAGCCCTCAGCCACTCCTGTCTTGTCTGTACTTCCACCCACCTTCCCTTCTCTGGTACCACTTTGCAGTCAGGCTCACTTGAAGATAAACTTATTTATCCGTAAATATTTTGGTATGTGCCTTTCAAAGATAAGAACTCTTATTTTAAAAAGTATATACAACCTCAGCACGAAAAACTATACCATCTTAAAAATGAACCATTTCTTACATCATCTAATATTTGAGAGTATTTTAAAATCTAACTTCCTGTATCATTAAGTCCTCTAGAAGAAAGAACTTTAAACTTCAGGTTCTTGAGCTGCATTTATTTAGTTCTGGAGCCATGTCAGGGTGTCTATAAGTTAGGGCCGTGGCTCTTTATATTTAGTGTGGACATGCCGAAATAAAATTCTGTGTGATGAATCTTCAGGTCATGCTCAGAACACTGTAGGAGAGAATTGATGTCTGTCTCCCTGTGGAGGCCAGGAATATGGAAAATAAGCCTTATGCAGGTAAATTCTGCAATTCTGCTTCTCTGGTTTGTCCTTGACAAGCTGCAATTGCTTTCTGCTGGCTGGGCTAGTCTGGAATCTCCGCACTCCTTCTCCTGGTGAAGAAAGGTCAGGAACTTGTGAAGTAAAGATGGGATGGTTTCTTCTGTTTTCTCTCTTTTTGTCCAACCTGATATCAAGGAAAGCCACTTTGATCCTAGCTCATTTTTTTGTTGTTTGTTTTTGGTTCAGTATCTAACATATTGAGCACCTATGTTAATTGGAGTACATTGATTAGATAGGCCCTAGGGTTTCAGCAAGAAAATTCTCCCCAGCCTCTTTGAGAATTTAAAGGGAAAGGCTGGTTGGTCATTGAAGACCAACCAAATTATTGCAATAATCTGCTTTTGCCCTTTTACAGAGCAGGGGAAATGTGTGATTTAAGTGCAGTGGTACGCTGGAAGCAGTCAGTGTCTTGCTAGAACTTAATTTGTAGTGAGAGACCTAGCTAATAAATACAGGTAAATAAATAAATAAGACAACCACAGATGCTAGTCACTGGATCAGCATGCTGGAGATTTCTTGGAAGTGTGTTCTTTGTTGTTGGTGTTTGTTTTTGGTGAGGTGAACAGGTCTCTGAGGACACGGTCATTTAAGAGCTAAGACTTAATGAAAGAAGGCGACCATGATCCCCCGGGCATAGGAAATGGAGGGCAAGGAACTGGAAGTGGGAATGAGCTCAGTGTGTGTCAGAACCCTCCAAGAAAGCTGGCGTGGCCTGTGGCATGTGGCAGGGTGAGGAGTGTAGATGTCGGTAGAGAGCTAGGCAGATAAGAGTTCAGAACTAGTTTTAGTTTCATAACTGTAGTGGTGTAAGGAGGAAATAAGCAGAACCCAGACAGCTTCTGATGCATAGTGTTAGGAAGCCCTGAGTTGCTTCCTTGGCTAGATCAAAAGGTCTCCCAGGGAATCCTGGGGGATGGAAGTCCCTGGATCTGCTCTGTGTCATCTGTGTGGGTTACCTCCCAGCTCAGAGAGCTAGAAGGCAGTCTGCTGATGAAACCAACAGATATGGACACACATACCTGTGCAGTTTGGTCAGTGTGGTATCACTGGGACTCAGTGAGCTAGGACGCAGAAGGCAGCAGTAAAAACAACTTGTGATCTGCCAGAAATAAGCACCAGTGCCAGGCTACACCAGAGTCAGAACTAACCACCCACTTTTCTGTGGTCCACTTTTATTATCAACTTAAACTCTTCATGAGTCAGGTATCTTCCACATACCAGCCACATGCAGTCCCCAGACTCACTCATTGAAGCTGCGAGGTCCTGCCTGGCCGGGTGGCAGCTCTGAGCTGGGTAGAGGTGGTGGCCGGGGAGGCAGTGATAATGGAGTCTCTCTCCTATCTGGAGGAACTTCTTCATAAACACCCAAGGTCCAAGCCGCCAACCTGCCGGGAGTTCAAAGCTTCTGATTTGAACACTGACTCGGACAGAGGTCAGCTCTGTAGGAGCTCTTATCAGAGGGTGGTCACAAGTCCCCAGTTTGAAGTCCAGGCTGTGGAGGACTTACAAGCACTGCTGGCTTAGGGCCTGTTTGTTATTCAGAGCTACCTGAATCCAAAGTCACATCTATTTTTCTTAACTTAAAATATCTTTTGTTTAAGACAAAACAGGAAGTAACATGCACAGTCTTCAAAAAATAAAATTATTTATTTTCCTGACATGGTTTTAGAAATCTCCTAAGACCTTCCTGAATTTAAGAAATTCAAAGTACCTTTTCTTTAAAGTCAATAAATTTTTATTTCATAAATTTACAAATTAAATTTGTTACATGTAGTGATTGGTTCATTGCACATCAGGGTCCCCTCTACAGCTGATTTTTCTTCAAAGCAGCCCTTTTTATTTTTATTTTTTATATATTTTATTTTATTTGCATTACTGAGGTTTGAACTGGGGCCTACCCTCCACCAGCCCTTTTTGTGTTGCAGGGTTTTTTGAGAAAGCGTCTCACAAACTATTTGCTGGGGTTGGTTTTGAACTGAGATCCTCCTGATCTTTGCCTCCTGAGTAGCTGGGATTACAGGCGTGAGCCACCGGTACCTGGCTTGGTGTAGCCCTTTTAAAAAGTGTTTAGTCCAGTTGTCCTATCAGCCCACAAAATTTGGGCTCCTTTTTTTTTTTTTGGACCACTTGAATTGCAGATTGGAATTACTGATGACAACTTCAAAATTCCCCGTCTGAGGATCTATGGGATCTAATTTCTTGGAGCAGTTTATTTGGGGCCACCTTTAGAGTAGAGTGACCTGTATGGTGCTCAAATGCTGACACCGCACTTCGCTAACATGAATGAGTTCAGATCGTGTTTATTCCTGTTACTCTCAGGACATGCCTACTGTGCTTAGGATATGAGTTGATGCCTAAGGTGAACTATATATATATATATAAACAAGACATTTATATTTTGTAGCTGTCTTGTAGTTACTTCCCACAGATCTAAGAGATAGTCCTGTGAATAAAGCAAAACCACAATTAACTATATGGGGTGTTTCCAGTGATGTGTGGCTGTAGGACAGAAGCCCCATTGAGACAAACTCAGTCCTCAATCCTTCTTTTTTTTTTTTTTTTAATATTCTTAATAAAATTGTGAGCTGCCTGAAGTCCTTTATGGAATAAGCCATGATATAAAAAAAACCTTTTTTTCTGATGGTGGTACTGGGGTTTGAACTCAGGGTCTCTGGGTTGCTAGGCAGGAGCTCCACCACCCGAACCACTCCATCATCCATGAGGAAAGCTTTGTGGTGAGAAACTAGACAAGCAGCTTGGGTGAGAACCCAAGGTGCTGGAGAGAGAGGCGTAGCACCTCCACGCAGCTCTGACAGCACAAAGGAGCCAGGAGACTCCAACCACCCACTCGAGCCCACGCACCACTCTTTCTACTGGGAATTCAGGGGTTCACTTCACTTCAGTGACTTGGCCAGTTATGGAGTCTGCAGACCTTCCATCTCAGCACATCGTGTGGATGTGATGGTAGGCGGGCGTCCTCGAAAGGCCGCCATCCAGACAGGCACTGCCTTGTCTTGTAAGGTCCTCTTATGCAGGGCTTCCCCTTCCAACGTTCCCATTACCTGCTATCCACGGCTGTCTGAAAAAAGAAAATTCCAGAAGTAAATAATTCATATTTTTAAAATTGTATGCCATTTTGAGTGGCATGAAGACATCTTACTACAGGCCGGGCACAGGTGGTTCACGCCTGTAATCCTAGCTGCTCAGGAGGTAGAGATCAGGAGGATCACGGTTCAAAGCCAGCCCGGGCAAATAGTTCACAAGACCCAATCTCAAAAAAACCTACAACACGGAAAAGGCTGGTAGAGTGGCTGAAGGTGTAGGCCCTGAGTTCAAGCCCTAGTACCGCAAAAAATTAAAAAAATAGAAATCTCACAACATTCTGCTTCCTGCTCAGGATAAGAATCATCCCTGGGTCCAGTGTTCCCACACTGTGTGTGCTATCCAACTGTTAGTCACTTTAGTAGCTTTCTGCTGTCACGGTGTGCCAGTGTCAGTGTTCATTTAACACTTACTTTATTTAATAGTGGTACCCAGGGACCACAGTAGTGATGCTGGTAATTCAGGTGTGCCAAAGAGAAGGCTTAAAGTACTTTTTTTTGTTTTTAATAAAAAGGTGAAAATTTTCAACTCAACAAGAAAAGAAAAAAATGTATGCCATGTTGCTAAGATCTACAGTGTACTAGTATACTTGTTCTGTTTTATCATTAGCTATTGTTAAAATCTTACTGTGCCTAATTTACAAGTTAAACTTTACCATTTATGTAGGTATAAGGAAAAAACATAATATATATAGGGTTCAGTATTACCGGGGTTTCAGACAGGAAATAAGGATGTACTCTGACTTGATCGCTATTTTCACTCCTTTTTCTTTTTCTTTTTTTTTTTAATTGTACTGGAGTTTGAACCCAGGGCCTCACACATGCTCGGCAAGTGCTTTACTCCTAGCTATATCCCCAACCCACTTCTAAAGTATCTTAAAGGGTGTTACCTTGTTTGAACATCATAACTGGTTCACCAGTTACAGTTGGGAAAATGGTTCAAAGCGTTGTTGCTTCTAAGAGAATACCTAGACAGTAGGTGACCGAACCTGGGCTAAAGCCCAGAAAGAACTGGGGACCCCACAGCCACCCAAGTCATAGATGTCTTCTGTCTTCTTGCATGGAAGAGGTCAGTCTTGTGTCTAACCCAGCACCCAGCACCCCTTTGGGGAGGATGGAGCCCTGACCACCCAGACCAGAAAGAAGGCAACTCCTCTTCGAGGCCATAGCTCCCGGTTTTCTTGCTGTCTTGGCTGCCCTTGGATGTACTTGTGGTTTTGAAATGTTCCAAGGCCAGAAGGTAGGGAGCTCTTAAACCTGCTTCTTGATGTCACAG